TTCTCAGAACAAATAATAAGAGAGCATAAGTGTCCTGAATATTTAAAACATTGAACCTATGATAAATCCCTATTTACACCATTCAGTAAGCAGCTTTGATTTGATTTAATGAGAAAGTATTTCTCCAATCCTACCCCCACACTCAAGATGCAGCCCAGATACTGGCCATGACACTGATAATTTCTATTCAATATTGTATTGGAAGTACTTACTAGAGCAATACAACAACAGAAGGAAATAAAAGGCATCCTGATTGGCAAAGAGGTGGTTAAACTGTCACTGTATGCAGATGATATGACAGTGTAGATGACGTGATAGTGTACACAGAAAACCTCAAGGACTCAACAACAACAAAACCCATTAAAGCTAGTAGATCAATTCAGTAGAGTGGCAGGATGCAAGATCAAAAATCAGTGGGATTTATCTACAGTAACAAAGAGAATTCAGAGAAGGAAAATAAGAAAGTAATACCATTTACAATGTTGTGATGTGCCATCAAGTTGCCTGTGACCAATAGCAACCCTCTGTACAACAGCCCTAAAACATGCTCTATCCTTTGCCAACTTTACTGTCTTGGACACACCTACCCTAATTACCCTAGTCTCTGTATCAATCCATCTCATCAATTGTCTCCCTCTCATTCTCTGTCCCTCCACCCTTCCAGGCATGATAGCCCTCTACAAGGACTGGTCTCTCCTTGAAACATGCCCAAAGTATGTCAGACAAAGCCTCAGAATCCTTGCCTTCAAGTAATAGGCTGGCTTCACCCTCTCTAGGACAAACCTGTTTGATCTCCTGACAGCCCATGGTATATTCAAAACTCTTCTCCAGTACCACAGCTTGAAGGCATCAATTAACTTTCTATCATCCCTAGTCACTGTGCAGCTCTCAGACGCATAACAAGCAATTGTGGAGATTATGGTGTGGATCAGACGCACCTTAGTCTCCAGACTGACATTATTGCTCTTGAGTACTCTGAAAAGGTCCCTGAAAGCTGAATTTCCCAATGCAATTCGTCTCTTGATTTCCTGACTGCTGGTACCAAGAGTGTTGATTGTGGAGCCAACCAAACTAAAACTGTTAACAATCTCAATCTCTTCACCATGCATCATGATGCTGCCAATTGGCCAAGTGGTGAGAATCTCTGTTTTCTTGATGTTGAGCTTCAATACATCTTGAAGGCTGCAGTCCTTGATCTTCTGCAGCAGAAGCTTCAGTTCCTCCTTAGTTTCAGCAAGCAGGGTTCTGTCATCTGCATAACATGGGTTGTTGATGAATTCTCCTCCAATCCTGGTGCCATGTTGCTCCTCATACAGCCCAGTCTCCCAGATGACCTGTTCTGCATATAAATTGAAAAGGTATAGAGACACAATACATCCCTGGCATTCATCCTTCCCAATTTTGAACCATGCAGTGTCTCCTTGCTCTGTTCTGATGACTGCCTCCTGGCCCAAGTATAGTTTTACACAAGCACAATTGAATATTCTGGGATCCCCATTCTTCTGAGAGTCAGCCACAGTTTGTTGTGATCTACACAGTCAACCATCTTTGCATAGTCAATGAAACACAGATAGACATTTCTCTGGTACTCTCTGCTTTCAGCCAAGATCCATCTGACATTAGCTATAATATACTTAGTGTCACAGCTTCCTCTAAATCCAGCCTGCACTTCAGGCATTTCTCTGTTGTGTTATTCCAGTTGTTTTGGATAATCTTCAGGAGGATCTTTCTTGCATGTGTTATCACTAATATTAAAAAATTTCCATACTCTGATGGATCACCTTTCTTTGGAATGGGAACAAATATAGATTTCTTCCAGTCAGTTGGCCAGGTGTTTTTCCTCCAGATTCTTGGCACAACTTCGTAAGCACATTCAGGGCAGTGTCTGTTGAAATATGTCAATTAGTATGCCATCAATTCCGGGGACCTTGTTTTTTGCCAATTCTTTTAGAGCAGCATGAACTTCCTTCATCACCACAGGCTGTTGCTCATACATTGTTTCAAGAAATTCTTCTGTGTTTGCCAATTCCTTCTGGTACAGTGACTCTGTATACTCCTTCTATCTCCTTTTAATGCTTCTTGGATCATTTACTATTCTGACCAAAGCATACTTGAGTATTACAACTCATGGCTTGGATTTGTTTTTCAATTCCTTTAGCTTAAGAAATTCTGAATGAGTTCAGCTCTTTTGATTTTCTGACTTCAACTCTTTTTACATTTTATTGTAATACTTTGCTTTACAATAGCCAACCACTAATTGAGATACTTGGGAGTAAGCCTAACTAGAGACACAATAGGCTTATAAAAAGAAAATGGCAGAACATTTTTGTGAGACACATACACATGAAAAGACTTAAATAAGTAGAAAAATGTTCTCTGTTTATGGATAGGAAGACTCAATATTGTGAAAATGACAAAAAGCAATCCCAATATAGGTACCAAATTCATCTTTCAAGGAGATCAAAAGGGAATTCATTAAGTTTATTTGGAGGGGAAAAAGACCTCAATAATCAAAGCATTTCTGAAAAAACAAAAATGAAGTGAGAGGCATAGCACTCTCTGACCTTAAAACCTACTACAAAGCAGTAATAACCAAAACAGCACAGTACTGGTACAATGACAGGCACATAGACCAATGAAACAGAATTGAGAACCTAGAAATGGACCCATCTATCTACAGTCAACTGGAAATAAAACCTATCAAATAGGGAAATGGCAACCTCTTCAACAAATGGTGTTAGCAAAACTGGACTTCTACCTTCAGAAAGCTGAAACAGGATTCACATCACTCACACCATACACAAAAATAACCTCAAGGTGGATCAGAGACCTTGGAATAAAGCTCAAAACCATCATCAGAGACAAACTAGGATCAAGCTTAGAAGGCCTAATCTACAGTATAAAGGGACTGCCAAATACAACCAGAAATGCACAATCTGAAGAGGATAAAATTGGTGAATGGGAACTTTTAAAGATTAATTCTCTGTGCTCATCAAAAACTTTTCCAATAAAGTGAAGAAAAAAGCTACTGACTGGCAACAAATATTTGGAAATACCATATCAGACAAGGGTCTCATAATGAAAATTTATAGAATACTCCTGGGCCTCCAGAAGAAAAAGACTGATAATCAAATTACACTATAGGCAAGAGACATGGAAAGACCGTTCACAGAGGAGGACATTTGAATAACCAACAGAGACATGAAGAAATGCTGAAAATCACTGGCAATAAGATTGATGCAAATCAAAACCACAATGAGATACCATTTCACTCTAATAGCAGTAGCAAAGTTTAGCAGGGCAGCAAGTAATAAATGTTGGAGAGGATTTGGTGAGATAGCAACTCTTCTATATTGTTGGTGAGATTGTAAATGGTACAGCCAGTCTAGAAGGCAGTTTGGTGTTTCTTCAAAAAGTTGAACATAGAAATTCCATATAACTTCCACTGCTTGGAATATACCCTTAGAAAATGAGAACGGAGATACAAACAGTGACTTGTACACTAATGTTCATAGAAGCATTATTCACCATTGCAAGAACATGGAAATAGCCCAATCACAATGAAATGGATTCAGAAATTATGGTACATTCAGAATATGATACAGCTTGCAAGAGCAATAATTTTGTAAATTACTGCCTAACAGGAGAGGGGCTGGAGAGCATTATGTTAAGTGAAATAATTCAGTATCATAAAGACAAACACTGTATTGACCATTATTGTAGAACAAGTGTGAGGATCCAAGGGGGGAATGAGAGGAAGAGGGGTGAGGATGGAGGAGTTTTGAGTGGAAGGAGAGGTGTGTAAAAAGAATGTATACAAACTTTGTAAATAAATCCGCATTGTGTGTGTGTGTGTGTGTGTGTGTGTGTGTAAAATATTTCCTAACAGATTCCAACTCAGACTCCTCAACCAGCTGGGAAATTACTTCTGACTCATGGTAAACCCATGCTTTTCAGAATAGAACTCTGCTCTAGAACATGATTTTCAATTGTCTTTCCCCCAGAATCAGACTACCAGATCTGCCTTCATGGTTGGTCCCTGGGTGGTTTCAAGCTATCACTTTTTCAGTTAGCAGCTAAGCATTTACTTATGCACCACCCAGGTGTCTTCACCAACTCTATACTCTTGACTCTATACTCTGTACTCATGACTCTTCTAGCTTCTCTATTCAACTCTTCTCCAAACTCCAAGTCATATCCCCTTATTACTCTACAACAGTAGTTAAGATAAAATTCACTGATTGCCTAATCTTACAGTTAGAGTGAGAATCCGTTTCCTACTTCTCATTTTAATGGACTCTTACCCCATAGTTTCCATTTTAATAATCAATACACAAAAAAGAAATAGCAATCCCATAGAGAGCACAATCCATAACAGCTATATATTGACATGCCCATGCACATTCAAGAATTGTATACAGCTTACTCCATAATTATTAAACTCATCCCTCACACTCTAATACAAAGATCTTGTTTTTAATACACTATTTTTTTCTTGATTATAGCACTTATTTCTTTATAAACTCATTTGCTTCATGTTTTGTGATTTGTCACGATGTATTTGTCTGTAGATATCCTACACAGTTTAGATAGCCCATACAGTTTTGACTGACAGGATTGCAAAATCTCAGCATTGTTTAGGGCATTAATACATTTCTGTTTATCCACCAATGTCTCCACCTACAAGATCTTTTACCAAAGCCCACATCACGTGGTTATGTCGATTTAACAAGCCCATAATTGAAAGGCTGACACTTTCGCAAGTTTGCCCATTCCCTGTCTGGAATGTTTAAAACCAAAAGTCAGTTGCCTTTGAGTCACTTCCTTCTCATGGCAAGGCCTTGTGAATCAGAACAGAGCTACTCTCCACAAGAGTCTCAAAGGTTAGGGTCCTTCAGGAGTAAATTGCCAGACCTTTCTTCTGAGGCTTTCTGGGAGGCAGTAGCCTCCAAACTTGTGCTTAACAGTGGGATACATTAAATTCTTCATGAGTCAAGAACTCAGAGATCCTTAGACCATTCCTGCAGCTCAGGATCATGCCTCAGGACAAGAAAGGCCCAATTCCTGTAGCCATAGAAGAATTTCTGGGACTTGATCTTCCTGAGGCCACCGTCTTCCAAACTACTCTCAAGTTCTATTTGAAACAATCCTTTCACATAGCAATTCAAGGTTATTTTCTCTGGAAACACATTCTTATCAAACACCCTCTTAAAACATGTGCCCAAAAAGCAATGGTCCTGAGATGTGTTCTTCTCTTGGGGTGAGGAAACACTACCTATTTAAACACCATCAAGGACATCCTACCAGGTCCTTTTAATGACACAGACAGGGCATTTGATCTATTCTCACTAGGAATAGAGGGGCCCCTCTTCTTGCCTAATCTGCTTATGAAAAATGTTCAATTATGGTTCCAGTTTAATTCACTTGTAATGAAAAGTAGGTGAGCCCAACCAGCGTATTTGATGTGTCTTAATAAAAAGAAACTGCTCTGGAAGAACAAAAAATATTAAATTAAAATAAGTGACTCTCCTCAATGGTGGAAATGGAATTTCTTCTCTAAAAAATGGCTTGAGTTCCTTAAGACATAGCAGACACCAGTAGCAGAGAGAACACCTCACTCAGAACAAGTGCCTACTGCAGTCTATGGCCTCAAGGTCATGTGCACATGCAAGTGCACACATTTGCTTGAAAGCCAGGGAATTTGTGGCATGTTGCGAGAGACACATTCCCATCAGAGGGCATCCACATACCATTTTTGCAGATTGGGCAGCACTGATCAGGCTCGTACACGGGGTCCACACACTCTGTCTGAGGACAAGCAGATACTGTGCACAGCACTTCCCCACTGGCTTCACAGCGGCACCGCTCACATGGGGACACCTGGAACACAAGCCAAGCCACGCGGGTCACTCCTCCAGCCCTCTGCACCAGACGCGCCCCCATTCCTCCTCCCTGAGGCTTATGTGGGGACATCAAATGTTCTAGCGATGCTAGTGCCCAGGTATTCCAAGTGTGGACACCGAAACCGTGGGGGTTTAGTCAATTCCTCTCGTGTGTAAACACACATACATTTACTTCCACTCCCCACCCAGAGTGGTTTGCTCTATTCTCTAGTGGTCTACAGCAATTCAAGCCTTGTTCTGTTTCCTCTAAACATATCAGAACTGAATTCTTGTCCAGCATCTCACAATATAAATGGATCCCTCTTCCACAGCCTTGCCAAGTGTCCACCCAAGTGATCAAGGGGCAATGTCCATGCTTCCAGTGAAGAAAATGGTTTAGAAATGGGAGAAAGGGTGGAAAGGGTGAAGGAAAGAGAAAATGTAAACTATTTTAATGGCCTGGTTCACTTACAGAAACTTTTAACATTATCTCATCTTCTCACGGCAACTCCACAAAGAGCTACTACTAAAAGGTCATGTTTACTGATGGAGAAACTGAGACTCAGGGGGTTAGACTACTTTCCATGAACAGACCTTTCATAAGAAGCAGTGAGCCTCTGTGGGTTACTATCCCACTGTGGTTCATTTTTCTCCAAAGCCATTTAGAAGCCATTCCCATCCAGTGGTATGATGCTCTTCTATCTACTAGGTTTCTTCTTTTTGCCTCTCTGTGCTTCCACATATTGGATCGAGTATTACCACTGGTGCCAATAAAACCAGAATACTCATTCTACAGTGGAAAGGATATAAATGCCAACTAATTTCTACCATGGTAGTTCAGGTTTGGTGTGGATGGTGTAGTTCCAGAAACCCTGATGGGGAAGTTTTCCTCTAAGCTGACCCGGGACAGACAGCACATGGACAACCAACTATGAGAAACAGAAACTGGCTTCGTCTCTGCTCCCTTAAGACAACGTCACTAGGAGAGATGTTGTGATGTCCTGCCTCTTGCTTCCCAAGCCAAGAAGGTTGCACTCTCTTTCCAGGACTACATCGACAACTCACATCTGCAGATAAAGCAGACCACTCACAGCTGCTTTCCAAATGACAACAGTACAAGAATCTCTGCCAAATGGCCACATTATTTCATGTCCAAGAAGCTCAATTTCTAATTAAACAAATATGATTCTTAGGCTCTGGAACCAAGTTTCACTTTCCTGAAAGCCAGGTCTTAGACATGTATGTGAACATGCACACACACACAGGGCCAGAAAGAGAGGAAACTCTTTCAAATTCCAGAGTGGTCCAGGACAAAACCCTGGCCTGTTTTGTAACACAGCCTCTGAAACTGACATCTGTTTTACAGTAGCCATCTATTGGCATGTTTTCAGTCCTTGAGCACAACAGTTTCTCTGAGGTTAATGGCTGTGTTGCCTTTTCACTGTGCTGTTCCTCTATCTCCCCACATGCCTGCTCATTTACCCTGCAGCATCTTTGCCTCAAGAGTGGATTCAACTCACAAACACAATGCAAAAATGATTCTGAGTTTAAAAACCAGAAACCTTGAGTTTCTAAAGACTTGGTTTACTGCACACACGTCAAAATCCTTCCACCTGAAGAACTCTGGGCACAAGTCACAGAGAACAGATGGTGTGAATTACATGATGGCCAGTCAGGCTCCTGCCACAAGACACAGGTCATCCACCTAAAAAGAAGTACTGAAAAAAGAAGTGGTGTGACAAGGTGCTGATGTCAACCTTGAGAAAGGGGTACAAGTAGAAGTTACCAACCCACAAAGATAATACTCCAATGGGGAGCAGAAAATACTCATTTTGGTCTAGTAATGTAAAAGAGGGAGAGAGCAGAGTCCTAGGTTGTGCTCCAGATAGAGCTTTGGGAAAGCAGCATGACCACAATGCAAGGTATGCACAGAGGCTGTACCTTCAGGTACGCGTTATAAGCAGCTGGCCTGCAGTCTGCCTTGTAGCTACTTTCTGCATGGCGGGGAGGATGCTGGAAAACAGGGCCAAGATCACTGACCTAGAAACAACATGCTCCTACTCTCCCTGGATTGGAAGCCTCACTGCGTTTGCCGCACAGCTTTGCTCAAAAAAAAGGCACATTGGCTGGGTTCTTATTTTTTTAAAGGTGCATCAGTTTTATTCAGAATCTAGTTTTGAGTTTTATTATAACTAAATAGTTGTAAATCCTCATTGGACTTTTTAGTGACCTGGCCACATTTCAAAAATTCAACTCAGATGCTTAAAATCAAGATAACTATAAGTAAATCTCCCACTGAGTTCTCACCTCCTGCCACCTACTTTTGTATCAGACAGTTCTATTCATTCTTACCTAAGTACAGTCTATCCTAGCTCCCATCCACTGCTAGGCTAGTGACAGCAAGTGGCAAAGTTGTGCCAATTCCCTTGGACATCCTCCAGCTGGCTCTCAATCCCCTGCTATTTTGACTTAGACTTTCCTCCCTGACAAGTTCCTAAGCCCTGTTGCCTAAGCACATAATGCACTACTCTGCTTTCACCAGGATTACAGTCTTGACATCTTCCAGGTGGCTTGGTTCTAGGCCTAGAAGTGGACCCAACCCCACTCCACAGACTGAGCTCCCCATTAACAACCAGTGGCCTCACATTTCAGGTTGTCTGGTCTGAACTGTCTGCCAGGACCCTTGGACACTCCTGGATGTCAGGCCTGAACCACTAAGCAATCTCACTCAAATACCAGCAGGTTAGGGAGCTCTGGTGGCCTACTGGTAAGAAGCTGCACTGTAATCCCAGAGGTATGCAGTTCAAATCTACCAGCTGCTCTGCTGGAGAAGGAGGGGCAATCTCCTCCTGTACCAGTCAGATCCTATTTGATGGTAAACACACACAAAATAATGAAGTTTAAAAAAATACCAGCAGGTCTAGCCAACATGGATAAGTTAATGCCCCAGATCCTATGACAGCAAAGCTCAGCATACTCTGCTGAGGTTTGTTGTCTGGTTTATTTTCCTAGTACTCATTCATGCTGCCCTGTTCACCTGGAAAGGTTCACATATTGGTAAATTCCTACTTACATTACATCCAGTTCAAAGGCTGCCTCTCTGGCAAGTGTGCAGACCCGGTCACTTTCCCTCTTTAGATAATCCCCCTGTTTTGCACCTGTGTCTGGCAGTGCACTTGTACACTGTGGTAAACTTTGCCAAATTAATCCCCAAACACCAGCTCACATGAGCACAGAGCAGCTAGCTTAGGAAGATGCAGTCACAGGGACCAACCTGAAAGTCATGGAATAAATTAGCATTAAACACCAAAGTGCAAATCCACCACAGCAGCCTGAAGGAGACTAGTCCTAGTATCACCCAACCCAGGTCACATATTCTCACAGTGCTCTATCCTACACTCTCTCTGCACACTCTGGGCTCTTCCAGTGACTGGTGGCTGGGTATGTCTGATACAGACATAAAAGCTGTTCTGGGCTCAGGTCAGGGCAGGAATGCTGTGACCTTCCACTGCCTGACCCAGGAAAGATGTCAGGAAGCAGACCTGGAAGCTGCAGCCTCAACAGGAGCACAGGCTACCAGTCTCCAGGTTGAATATCATGTCAGGGTCATTTCAACAGCATCTCCAAGTGCATGGAACCCCATACAAGTGTTGAACAGTACCAATCATCTGTCTCCACTGTCCAGGGCTCAAGAGGAAGTCAGACTGTTGATTCCAAGCTGCTCCTCTAACTCTAACCATCATATCTGAGAAACCACCAGACTGCTGATTCCTCATTTACTAACTATAGCCATTTGAGCATCACCAGTACTCAGCAGCCTCCTGTCATCCCTGTGTGTTTTAAATTACTGCAAAGGAAATGAGAAGGATCTTTTATGAAAAACAATATACTCAAACTTTGCAAATAAACTAGAGTAATGTATATCACCAAACCAAACAACAATAAAACCCTTAAAACCAAGCCTGTCCAAATGCATTGCTGCATCTACCACCAAGAACATGAATTTTCAGGGGATTTTGCTCCTGTCAGATGAATAACCTTTGTCCTCTTCCAAAGTGACCCCTTTCCCAAAAGAAACACAGAGAAGGGTAGCCTAACTTTTGAACAATACTTTCTATTAGTAAACACCAACCTACATTTTGCATAGAATGCCTTGAAAGAAAAAATTCATAATATATAATATTGCAATTATAAATTAATCCTTTATATACATATGATTTAGTGGCACATACTAGGGAAAATATTTGGCACTTGAGAAAAGGAATTGTTCTCATGTCACTTAACTATGTTCAATTTTTAGTTCCTGGAATGCACACTTGACAGACATCCAGCAATTGTGGACTTTACTTCTCACCTGGTTGAGAAGGTTGCAGGCCAAACGCAAGACTGTAGTGGTTTAGTGCTTGGATAAGGAAAGAACAGTTTCTCAGAACTGAAAATGAGTTTGTTTTTTCATTCAAGTCCTGAGGCCCAAGTCTGCCATGCCATTGTTGTTATGTGCCATCCAGTCAGAACATCTGAACCAACTTACAGCTGTCCTTCCAGGGAGTTTTCAGAGGTTTTTCAGAAAATCACAAAGGAGGAGATTTTCCTTCTTCCTCCTTAACAGCAACTGATAGATTCAAACTATGAAACAGCACAACTCTTTACTCCTAGGCTACCAGAGCCCCCTTATGCCATAATGAGAAAAATGAAAATGCAGATGACAGTCAAGGTGGTGGAAGAAATCAACAAAGGGAAAATAAATGAACTTGGCCCCAGAATCTCTGAGCTGACTGTGTTTTCTCCCTATTTTTTTAATTTGGATTCTTCCTGAATTACCCTAGTAATTGTGTCTTACAAACAACAACTGTCTAATATGTCATTACTGTTACCCTCCTACTGTTTGTGTCAAGTTGTGTCCAACTCATGGTGACCTTAAGTGCAACAAAACAAAATGCGTTCACATCTTGTCTTTACAATTGTTTGTGTTCTGTGGTACACTGTCATGGTGGTACA